TAGAGCCCGAGCCCACAGACTGGTAGAGGGGTTGTCTGACGAGGAGGATGAGGAATTCCAGGCGGCCGGCTCCTTGAGCAAAATTATAGAGGATAACGTAGAAGTCATCAGAAAGGTGGCTTCCACCTCCAAGAACCTGAAGGGTGGTTATGTGAGGGCCCTAAAGGACGCTGCTGAGGGGATAATCAAAGTGACAAAAGCCCTGAAAAACAGGTGCACCACGGACGAGACAAAAGGTCTGCAGGCGGCTAATGGTCACCTGCAAGCGGAGGTGGAACAGTTGCGCAAGGAGGTCGCTGAGATGAAACAGTGCCTCCAAGTGCCGAATGCCAGGCCGGAACCACCGAGAAGCGACAACGAGGACCTTGTGCGCACCATTCTGTGTCAGGTGGGCACAATGGTGAACGCGAGATTCGAGGCATTAGAGGATCGCCTCCTTCCGGAAAAGCGCATCCGTCCCCCCCTTGCGGCTGACACCAGGCCCGAGTCCATAGGTCAACGCGCACCGGAAGTCCCAAGTCTGGAAAAGCGCGGGCAAACCTCGGGCAACGCCTCGCGCCAAGCCCCAGGCAAAGCCCCAGAAAAAGCCTCGAAGAAACCCTCTAAGGGTAAGACGGCGGAGCCTCAGGCCCAGCCTCAACCAACGGTGGCAGAGCCTGTAGCCCAGCAGGAGCAGCGTACCACAGAACTGCCCTGGAGCACGGTGGTTAAAAAAGGGCTGAAGCAGAAGGAGACGAACAGGTCACGTGTGTTCAAGAACACGGATAGAAGAAGAGCGCCCAGGGCGCCAACAGTGTCATCGCCAAAAACCGCTGCGGTAGTGGTTGCACTCACGCCGGAGGCCGTTGCGAGGGGCCTCACGTACGACGCAGTAATCGCGGAGGCTAAAGCCAAAATAAAACTGCAGGACGTGGGGATAACGACTGGTGTGCGTTTCCGAGTGTGTGCCACTGGAGCAAGGCGGTTCGAGGTCATTGGTGAGGACAATGGCCCACAGGCCGACGCACTTGCGGAAAGAATGACGCAAATTTTCAGTAGGGACATGGTCCGCATCTCGAGACCGGTCAAGTCGACGGAGATTAAGGTGTCCGGCCTGGACGACTCGACGACCGTCGAGGAAGTGCTGGCGGCGGTTGCCGAAGCGGGAGGCTGCCCTACAGACACTCTCAAATGCAGCGGAGTCGTCAGGGATCGATTTGGTGTTGGACATGCCTGGGTGCAATGCTCAGTGACGACGGCAAAGCGGGTTGCGGACGCAGGTCGACTGACAATGTCTTGGGTGTCGGCTAATATCAAGCTGCTAGCGCCCCGGCCACTGCGTTGTTACCGATGCCTGCAGAAGGGGCACGTCAGAGCGCAATGCAACTCGGAAGTGGATCGGAGCATGCTTTGTTTCCGTTGTGGTTTGGAGGGCCACAAATTCAAAGAGTGTTCGGCTAAGCCGCACTGCGCGATATGCGCTGCGGCCAAGAAACCGACGAACCACCAACTGGGAGGTAAGGGTTGTTCCGCACCAGCCCCAAAGATCACCAGAGGAACAAGCGTCCCACAGCCACGACCAGCACAACAAGTGTCAGTGGAGATCTCTATGGAGACTGAAGACATAGGCTATAGAGATGGCGGTCCAAGTTCTACAGGCCAATATTAACCACTGTGCTCGAGCTCAAGACCTGCTCGTACAGAGCATGGCTGAGTGGTCGACACAGTTTGCCGTGGTGTCTGAACCCTACTTCATCCCCGATAGGGACAACTGGGTGGGTGATGAGGATGAAGTCGTGGCGCTCATAG